CTCTTTCGTCTCTTTTCGTCTTTCGTCGTCCCTCCCCTCCATACTCCTTCGCCGGCTCTCGCTACGTTGCTTCTTCCTCCTTCGTCTCTTCGTCCTTCGGCCCTCCCTCCCGCCTCCCCTCCCTTTAGTCACCCTTTCCTCTCTGCTATCACGGTCTCTTTTCTTAGCTTCCTGTCTTTCTTTGACGATGCGTTTTCTGTCTTCTTCGGAGATCGGTGCTTCTCTCTTTCCTCGGCCTTTTTCTCCCTTTCTCATTCCTTCAGCTCGAGGTTCTCATTTTGTTTACGACCAGAAGGATTTTCCGATTTACATTTTTGTCAAATTTGTAATGATTTTGTAACTCGTTGTAACTCGAGTCTCGTCCTTGAGTTTTGTTAAACGGAAACCAGAACTTTTGGACAGATAATTTGAATCTACTTAACAGTCCGCGACAAGCCTCGTTATCTCGTAACAAGATACAACACGCTGAGGAAATGTACGGCGCTGAAAAAAATTCCTCGATACCGTGTTTCGAGGGATTTTGTTCGATTCGGCTTGTTCGGCCGGCCAGGTGTTCTGGCAGTGAGCGAGCACTATCAGCGAACGCGAGATCCGTGGGTCGAGAGAAGAACCGACGAAGGAGCGTGTAGGTGAAACCCGACGAGAGAGGCACTGAAGAAGGATGGAGAACCTGTCCTCTCGAACTGAGCCTTCTCCTCTCGGGGGCCTTCTCTGAAGAGGCTTAAAGAAGGCCTTCAAGATTCGGCCCCTCGGACCTTGGTTTATAGCTACGAACACGACGGACGTTGTCGACCGCCTTAAACGCACGCTTCTAATCGCATCGGAATAATTTCTAGACGCGAACTAGGAGTTTTGCGCAGCAGCGAAAGCGTCGGAAATTCATACGCGTGATGCAAAAACCTTCTCAAATTGTCAAGAAAATAGGTTAAACTGTGTGTTGTACCGAACTCTATTTTCTAAGAGAGTATAGTTTTCTTTGGATTTAGCAATTTATAAAAAATGCTTGTACAAGATACCCTGTTGGTCTCGCTGAAGGAAAACAGCATCTTCCACGCGGTGCGTTGTTAGAGATCGGAAATTTCGGCCCTCGAAATAGCGTGGGGCTGTGTGGAAATGACAGCCGGCTCGGCTCGGTCGCCCCCATCATGTCGCGTGGGGGAAGAGGGTGGTGCGCGCGGGAATCCCGGCCACCCTCTTCCCCGTCGCCTAGGCTGCATATATCGACCCACCCGATGGCGAAGCGGAGTGTGCACGACCCCTGACTCCCGCACACATGAGGAAGAGAGAAAGAGGGGGGGAGAGAGAGAGAGAGAGAGAGAGAGGGAGAGAGAACGAGGACTCCTTAACCCTCATCCGCGTTGTCGCGGGGTAAAATTTGACGGACCGACGATGATATCGAAGTAGGCGTCGGCTTGGCCGTTGTTGTTGGCGATCGCTTATCGATCATTCCGAGTGCATATCACTGATAAATGTGGTTGAGATTCAACGTAACTGATAATAATCGGAAAAGCTGTGAAAGTTCTGGAAAAGAGAGAAGAACACGAATATGCGTATTTTTTCGGATAACAGAAGGATATTAGATGTAAGAGGAGAAAGAATAATCTCCATCTCGGAATTAAGTAAAGAAATGGTGAAAGAGAGATGATCCTTTAAAATCCTGGTTCTTCGCGTCCTCGGATTTTTAATCGCAAACTTTCATTACAGAAAACGAGGAAGAAAGAAAAATCAGAAAATCTGCTTGTCTCTTTTTTTTTAATAAAGTATCCTACGACAAACGATCTTATTCTTTCCTATTCGGTTGGAATAGTTTCAACGCAGTTTCATCGTCGACATCAATTAACGATAACAGAGTGAAGTTTCCCTGCGTCTGCCCGCGGCGCGGATAGCGATATTGCTCGAGCTATACGCGGTTGTCAAACAAAGCGGAAGTTAAAAAGCAAGATTCCCGGCTGATTGTGGCGTAATCGGAGTCACCGAGTAGGAAGCTCTCGCGATAGTTCTCGACCCCATAATTCGCCTCGAACCGATTCGGGGAAGAAGAACGAGTATAAGGGGAAAGAGGGAGCGAGAAAAGTCGGAGGTGTCAGATTTTTACGAGCACCTGTTCACTATTTTTCCCTCCGCGCGTAGAGGGCTCGCGAGCCCTCTACGCGCGGGACGCGTCGTCAGGTAGATACGCGGGGCTCGTAGGGCCCCGCGTAGGGGTACCCTATCGACCTGGAAACCTGTTCTCCCTTCTCTCTCTTCCACCACCCTCTCGACCTCCCCGTTCCCCTTCCGCGCCCCCGGCTCCACTCCGCTGCTGGCGGCGGGAGCGATGGAAATGAAAAATTAGGCCGTTGTCGGGACCTCGCCTCCTTCGGAACCTCCGTCTTCCCCGCCCCCCCTCGTCTCCACCACCGTGCCTCGCGCGCGCCGACTTTTTCGTCACCGCCATTTATTTATCGCACGCCGACACGTACGTACGGGGTGTTTGTAAAACACGCGGCCGGATTTCCACACCGAGTGTGGCCGGGTATGCAAAGAAAGTTCCTAAGGGGCTTACGTCAGAAGGTGCTTTGTCAAAGGGTTCCAGGGAACTTTCTTTGGTCTAATTCATTTGTTTCTCACAAATGTATAATATATCCTAAATCGCGATTCGTATAACACGGTTCACAGCCTAGCCCCAAATAACCCTTCAGTTTCAATCGTTTAAAATTTGAGAACTACGGATTTTTCCATAGTTCTCCATCAAGGGAAAAATCAATTCCATATCGGATAGACAAACAAATTACTCATAGAAAAGCAATTTCCACCTAAACAAAGGTATCTTCCGCTCAGAGAGATGATTGCCGCCAATTATACTCTACGTCATCGAGTCGCCGACACTTTCATTTAATGACTTATTTGCTCGCGCATCCAGAAGCCAGAAGATAGACGACAATACTGAATCATCCGAATTCTATCCTATGCGTTTCAGACACCGCGTATATACCGAGTAGTCTGCGTCTGAGGGCTTTAATTCGAAATGCGCTGAAATTCTATCGTACGAGACGAGAGAGGGCCCGTGAAAGAGGGGCGGCCGATCATAATAATTCGCACTCGCGCGACTATCGCGGCGTACGCCGCGCCGCGCCACGTGTATTCCTCCGACACGGTGTATACCTGGCGGATTGACAGGTTATTGGCGGTTGGGTCGTTACTGCACGCGTGCACGCGGTAACGAGGGCGAATGTGCTCCGATTCCGAGTATGCGTAAGCGCCTGTGCGTAAGCGCGCGTGCACGCATGACCGAGCGCACGCGAGGGCGCGTCAAGGATCGCGAATTAACTTTGTTACTTGCAACTCGGAGCTGTAATGCCGTAGCTATTTTCCTTATGGAAACAGCGTGCACTCTCACTAACGCGCGTCATTGTGTGTCATACACGTACGGGCGCAATGGGCGTAACCGGAAATTAATCTTGGCCAAACTGGAGAAACGACGAACTTTTTACTTTGTCGATGCAAATAAATCCAGTTATATATTAATATATTAATGTGGGTTCATTTTTTTTATTCGTACATGTTAGTGCACTCCTGTCCCTAAAAAAACCCCGCGCCTCCGTGGATACAAATTAATTAACTACAATTAAACGTATCTTGTTCTTAATGAGACGCTCGATGTGAACGACGTGACCCAGACGGTCGATCTAGATCTCGCTTTACCAGATTTTCTTCTCGTAGAATTCTTTAAAACCAACCGTTTACACTCCTGACACTTTGAGCATAAGGCTCCTTTCATTATTTATGTCTCAATTAATTCGATCCTGCTACTTCGCTTGACTCACGCATGTACCTGCAGAAACTATCGCGAGAAAGTGAAACGATCTAAAATTTACGCGACGGTAATTCGAAGACGTTAATAAATGAACGTTCTTTCGTCGATAAATTGTAATGCTGAAAAATTGCGTTGAGCCGACAGTCTCAAGACTGGATATATCGACTCATGGCGATCGCCGTGGCGCACACCCTTAGGCGCGTCACCCTGTATATCTAAGAGACTACATTATGCTTGCCGACCTGTTGCTACCCTTTCCTCTACCTCGCACCCTTCTACTGTTCCTTCCAATCTAATCCACCCGCCGCTACGAAACGGCACCCCTCCTCTCCCCTATCCTCCTCGTGTGCTCCTCGCGCGCCTTCTCGTTCAGCTTATCGGAGCCGCTCTATATCCTTCGTTTCGGCCTCCTCTCCGTTTTACTACCTTCTCCTCTCATCGTTTCTCCCTTTCGACTGCCTCGTCAATCTCGCCGATCTCCATCTTCTCCACCCCTTCTCCGTATCTCCTCTCTTCTGCGTTCTCCGTCTTTCCCCTATCCTTTTTAAGCTCGTTGTATAATATAGTTGAGCACTTTTCTTTCTCTCAAAGCCGCTTTCTACACGAGACGCTAATGATGCTACGATACTAATAACGCGGTATCGATATCTCGATGTACTGTGGAATCGGTATTTTCGAGTCGACTGGTTTACAAGTATAAGCAATTTCTCGTCTATACATCGCATCGGTACTAAACGCGAATTCTAAACGAAGATTTATGGGCATAGACACGTCATACCGCGAGTCTATCTACGGGGTAGCTGGGGTGCCCCGAAATTAGCAAACCGTAGTATTAAGAATGGATGCTTTGACCAATGTAAAATCCATTATTTCTCTCTTTTTAATTGAAATGTGGAAGTGACGACGATCTTCTGTTCATCAACGATCCTCATTAATTTACTTACTTTTCGATTACGTTCTCGCTATGTTCTGAACTCTCTTTAATTGATAGGATATTTACAATACAGTGAAAATGTTGCGACGAACGATAACGATAATTTTAAAAATTTTGGGAAAATTTTACTTGTAATTTCCATTCTTCAGAGGAGTCTTTACAATTGAAATTAAGATCGCCCCCCTCGGCCCTCGATCAAACGTCTCTCGCGTGCGCGTTTGTTTAAAATTGAGATTAATGCCGTGTGCTTTTTCGATACTCTGATTGCAGCCTCGGGAGGGGGTGGTTCGATGTTGGTCCCTCCCGTGGCCCAAAGTGGGACCGGGGATCGTCCCGTGGGGGACACGGTGGCACGGGCTCAGCAGACAACCGGCCCCGCTGCCGCTACGACGACCCTATGGCCTTTAGCACCTGCGCAGCCCAATCAGGTTCCCAATCAACAGTCCCAGGGCATACCACCTCTGGCCGCTACGCCTGCGCCCGCTCACAATCAAGGTTCGCATTACATTATACGTATCAATCATCATTATTATCTCGCGGCGGCGTAACGATCCGGGGATTGAACTACCCCGAAAGGATTCGAGAGCCCCGATATCGAGTATTCCTCCCTATATATTGCGAAAAGTTACATATGTGTTTCTTACTACGCAGTATCGTGGGATTGTCGATCGATTTCTCAAACGATTTTTTCTTCTCGCTAAAATACAACTCGAGAGCTATGATCACAAAGGTATTTCATGTAAAAAATGTATTGCGTTGATAGATAACTTTATCTTGATTTTAGTCCGAATCGAACATTCGCCAAAATGCAAAAAGATATTCTTTCAATTAAGTTTTCGCTGAGAAAAAATTGTCCTCCAATTCGGCGAAGAATATCACTGCGTTTCCAATCCAGTATACGTTATGTAATATTCGTTATTGATCAGAGGTCGTTCACGCTTGACGTGTAATACGCTTATCACGCTTTATCAATCCGATATCTCGAATTCAGGCTGAATGCAAGGCTCCTCGTGCGTCGAAATAGCTCAGTTGGGAGAGCATTAGACTGAGGATCTAAATGTCTCCGGTTCAATCCCGAGTATCCCGGCGCAAACTCTTTCGTCTTCTATCTTACGAAACAATACTTTTAGAGGCAACCAAATCGTGGGATTGTGGATTTCATGGACTTTTATCAATTTCGAGATGGAACAAGTATTTACTTTTTTCCTTATCAAGTTTGCGTCTGTTTCGGCACGGTTTAGCATAATGGGCTGTGTGTTTTGCGGTCGATCGTTATTGTATTTACCTTGTCGACAGATAACTATCCGTTGAAAAACTGGACAAGCCTGGACGATATATTACAATTATTTATCCTCTTACAGAACTAGCTGTAAACACGAACCGTTTATTTTGTATAAAGTTCAGTTTCGAGACATTACGAATTGCGATACGAAATGCGGATATGAGTTATCGTGACGCATTGCATTTAATAATTCTATGATAAATTATATGTCGTACATGTGTGCGGTGTTTGAAACGTCGTGCAGAAATTAAGAACGTTATAGAAATTCTGACTTTTAGATTCAATGATAAAAGATATACGCAGAAAATATTGTTACAACTGCATTTGTGATTTAATCCATGCAAGACAAAACGATTTAACTATAGATATAACAGATAAACCGGCATGAAATATGCTTTCATATTGCATATGTTGGGCCAGATATTAAAGAAAAAGAGAAGGATACGAGGAAATATTGAATCTTTCCCGTTCTTTACTTTATAATAGCTAGTTGCGCGTCCACGTAATCCAAGAAAAGAATGTCTGATGTTTTCCTCCTTCTCTTTCAGAATGAGATAAGTACAGTAGTCAATAGTCAGTACCACGTCTATCTTTACGTATTAGTCGTTTTAACGTATTCCTTTTCAGAAGTATATCGTCTGCCGGTCTCATTCTCAGTAAAAATTAAGTGTCAATCGCAATCTCGTTGCGTTACTCGTTTCTTTCTTTAGACTTCAATTAATTAAGATAAAAATAAATACGTTTATTGACTCCTCTCAGGGTGTCAAGGCGTTTTGTAGGGACGTTCCCAACCTTTTATTCAATTCTCATCCAATACTATCCTTCTCCTCTCACTTTAACCCTTTGGACCAACGGCTTAACGTCTCTTTCCGAAAGACGGAATGGTGGCTTTAATTATAATTATTACCTGTTTAATATGTCGACGACGATGTTACAGGTGCGAACCGCTACGGACTGTACTCGTTATTCCCAGGGGGTGGCGGGGGCAGTTACCTCGCCGCCACCCCCGCCACCCCCGAGCAACCGATGCCAGCACGGGCTTATCACGCGACGCACAAGGGTAAGTTTACGACTTCCTTTCTTACGACTTCGCTTTCTTCGAAGACCGCGCTCGAGGTCTCGCTGCATATCTCTTGATGTCGCGGACGCGTTGCACGTTTTACATTTTTACAAAAAGAGCGAGCATTTTCGTAATCTGATCGTTCCTCATATCTAATGCTTAGTTAAGTGTCATATATATATATATATATATATATTATAAAACATATAGAATAAACGTGAAATTTCGAGGCTAACATTAATAATGAATTCTACGATCAAAACACTTGTGTCGATTTCTTAATTATAGCTCAGAGATCGATAACTTTCGCGTTACACGCGATTGAAGATAAAGACATTTCATAGAGGTTCCGAATATATAGGTATATATATGCGATAACAAATATACGTAGATTTTCTTATTTATGTGTTATCTATAAGATTTTCATGATTGGAATATCCGCGACGTAGGATCGCAAAGGATTGAGGAGCTAGCGCTTGGCGATCGAAGGAACCGACTGGAAATCGTTCTTAATGTTAAACTTTGCCATCCTCGCCAATTTTTCCAGCCGTCTTCGCGAATAGGGCAACCCCTCTCCTCCGGATAATTGAAATCTCGCCGGCGAGATTCGATTTTCGACAAGACTCCGAGAAGAAGGAGGATTCGATCCTCCGACGCGTCCCTGCGTTCTCTCTTTTTTTTCTTCTTCTTTCTCGAATCCACTCACCGTCTACCACTTCACGCAGCCGCGTTTTAGGTTACACCTCGAACAATGAGGTTGTTAGGAACTAAGAAGGCGAGGCGAGCCGTCTACACGACGACTGGACACGCGGGACTGTGTACGCGGGAATTCTATTTGTGACGCGCGCGTTTTTCTTCAACTCCTCTGGGTCCTTATCCAGAGTTCGTCGCTTTAATTGCATAATTGCTCCATTGTGGATCGGACAAGGGGCCCGCGGAACCTGTGAAAGGTCTCTTTCGAGGCGCGTCTTTCGTCTTTTCGAACCGTCGAAAAAGTGGTAATACAGAGCGTTCGTTAATTGACGGTATTAAAGCCTTCGAATCGAGTCTCGAGTCGATTTTTCAATGAAGGAGGAAGGGGAATTCCATTTCTCCGTAATTTTTTAATTTTTAATGTTGTCTTTCATGCTTTCACGTTGTTGCAGAACGGACAAGTAAGTATAAACCAATAATTTGACGTAATAAGGAAAGAGCCGCGGATACAAATGCAAATTTTTCTGAATGCGCTTTGAGAGAAGGACACGCTCTCGATATATCCAATTAACGACAGCCAATTCTGTACATCGTTGCGGGATATCAACGGGATATTTTTCACACACATTAAATTGCATAGGCAGATACGTATCCGCATTTAGATAAAATCAATAGTCCTAGCAATGGCGCAGCGCGCCGCCGAAGATATATCGCGCTGCCGCGCGCGCTGATAGACGCGCGTTCTCTCTCCCGAGAATTGTGCGTTCTCCTTGCGAAACGGCTCCCGAAAATATTAATCATTCTATTCTCTGTTGTGTGTACGTCTCTCTTTACAAAAACTCCACAGTTAACTAATTATCGATAAAATATCCGATCACTTAATTATCGGTAAAATACGGAATTTTAATTATTGGCGAAATATGGGATTAAAGTAGCCCCCATGAGCTACTCGTCCACGTTTTATCAATAATAAAGAGTAGAAAATATTCCCGTTTCGCTACGTAAATTGTGAAAATTTATGGATATGAATATACAAGAGCCACTTGATTACACATTATATACAGAAAATTGTTGCAATAAAATGTTATAAATAAAAAAAAGAGATTTTTTCTTAATTAAAAAATAAAAAATAAATATAATTTTCGCTATCTTGCTATATCTAACACATATGGTTTGTGTTCTCATTCTTATTATCCTTAAATTGGAGCCCGTATCTTGCTTCTGTCTTTTCTCTCAAATGATATTTTGTTGCGCTATCGTTTACAAAAATGTATATATGGATGTGTATGATGTTTAAAAATATACGTGTACTGAGAAAAAAAGTTGTTAACTTGACTAAATATTTTCAACTTATTATTTTTTTAATGGAAATATTTATGTATTTAAATTAAATACGACATATTAAATCTAACACGACGTAATTTGACTCAAATACTTTAATATTTCAATTAAAAAAATAATAATCAGTTAAAAATATTTAGTCAAGTTAATAACTTTTTTTTCTCAGTGTGTTAATATGCGTGAGTATTCGCAATGTATTGAGCTCGGGTCCGTGAGTTTGTTAATAAAGCCCAAATGACTGTGCGGCTCCGTCATCCCTGTGGGAAAGACAGAGAGAAGCGTATTACGTAGCATCGTATGGACACGATGCGTGAAAGAGTTAAACGTCCTTAGGGTTAACAAACTGCACGTTACGCCAAGTAGAGTCGGCCTATTCGCGTATCGCGATACCGTACTTACACGGCTATTTCCTATACTCGCGGCGGATGAAACTTACGTTCATCGGCGGAAGGCCGGCCGGGTCGATTAATCGGGGCGGCGGGTTCTCCAGTTTCAGAGAGCGTGTTTTCCGCGGCGGTTGGGGTTGGGGTGGGTGGCTACACCTGGGGCGCTCCCACGCCCCCGCCGGGATCGCCCTACAGCCCTGTGCCCGTGACACAGCTGGAGCTGCTGGCGAAAAATTTGGCGAACCTGGCGCCCGCAGCCGCCACAGGCCAGCAAGCCCTGAGCCTGCAGGGTGTCGGCGTTAACGTGGCGGGTAGTTTGCATCACGCTCAGCATACGCAGCACACGCAGCACACCCTCAACCTCACCGGAATTCATCATCTGCATCACGGTGAGAATCTATATTTGTGTAACAACGCCGAGAAAGGTCGCGCAAGCACGATTTAAAAATATTGCAAATTCTAATGTCTATTTCTATTAATATAGATTAACTTTATAATCTCGGTTTAACTTACTTTTTATCGTTTTCTAGTTCTAAGAATTAGAAAAAGATTAATTAAATCAAGATTAAAGTTAATTTACATTGGTAGAAATAGACATACATAAATAGTACAAATTGCGGCGATGTAAAACTTCTTTTTAACTTTGAAACGAGACTTTCGAAACAAATAACGTGAACATTTTCGAATCGTTGACAGCTAACTTATATTAGTTTCGCTCGCGACATCGTTATAACCGATAAGAAATTAAAAGAAATAGAATTATAGATAATGTTATTGACACAATGTGCTAACTAATATTGAATCGTCCTTATCCTTATCCTGATAATATCTATTTAACGTTGTTATTATGGTTAATGATAACCCGGATACCCAGATAACTCACTTTACCTGATCCAAATCATCAACCCTAGTTAGTATGAACAAGAGAAATGAATTTGTGTCAAAGAGTCAGGAATAACAGAATAAATATCTTCGATTTTGGAGGAGCGCCGTCAAGAGTAGATCAATTAGCATTATAAATCATGTTAGATCAATCATGTCTCTTGTGTTAACCAAAATTTGACAAACTTAATCAACGTTGATAAGCGAAAAAATGAACTAACATAGAGGGGTAAATTAGAATGGACCAGCTTTGATTTCTTTCATATATACCTAGCAAACGAGTTCGCGTAACTTCTCGTTACGCAAACAGCAATTTTATCTATACAGCGAACGAACACTTGTAGCACTTCCCGCGCGGAAGAAGCATCGGAAAAAGCTCGAAAAAACATGTACGCGAGTTTTTCCTATATTCCTCGATTACACGTTCGCCGCTGCGTTTCGACATTATTTCTGCGAAAATCATTTCCATTTCAAATTATTTTACATTACCGGCACAATATCAATCATCACGAAAATAGCACAGGTCGTTACGTTCGATTTGTATCTAAAGCTCTCTCGTTTCTCTACAGTATCGATGTGTATATTAATTTATATGGAAAATATTGACGGCTGTTGACGCGCATCCGGATGCGGATGTATCATAATTACCCGGATTAATTGTACGATAAGAATATGTTAACGTAATTTTCTGTGCTTTTCGCGAAAGGTGGTCTCCATCAGAACGCGTTCTCGCCTCAGCTGTCATTAGTAACCGGCAGCACACCCACGCTGACCATCAACAGCTTCTCATCACCCAACTCGACCATCAACGGCATCGCGCCGACGACGGGTGTCCTCCTGCAGGAATATCAACCGCCGATAGGCGCAACTGCGGCGGCGACAGGATGTACCGTCACCGTGAACGGTTCGTCCTGCCTGACCAACACCAGCAGCACGAGCAGCAGCATGATGATGCACGGCGGTATCGGCGGCGGCTGCGGCGGCGGTGGCAACCAGACGATCGGCAACCAGATCGCCGTTCAAGCCACCGCCACGAAGAAACGGGAGGCTTTCCTTTCCAGTCAAGGCCAACCGGTGAAGCTGGAGAACAAATCGACCAGGGCGTCGTGCCTCTGCAGGAACAGCAACGGTACGACGTCCGTTCTCTCCCCCCGGAGACTTTTCCATGTTATAAGTCCGAATGAATAGGGCCGTGCGAACGAGCGCGTCACGCTTCGAGATTAGGGCTGATACTTTTGGACCGGGTAAAATGAGCTTACAGCCGAATAGCCCAGATACCTGCTCGATACTCGAGTGCGCGCGCGGGTAATATCCGGGTATATATCCGGTATATAATTGGCTCCGTTCGGAATACGAGACGACTGCGAATCACATATTTTTTTCAGTCCCTTGCATTTTCGAACTTTTGCATTCTAGAATTTCTGGACGACCGCAGAGACGAACCGTTGGGCCGAGAGACCCATCTCGGGCTCCGTCTTTGGTTTCTCAGATCGGCGAAACTTCGAATTTCCCTCCCCAAATTTTCATAATCTTTGAATTTTTCTATATTTTTTTATTCGTATTTTCAAAGTTCGAGTGCCAATCTCCAAGTTCGAAAATTCGACGAACTGAAAATTAAGTTGTTAAATTCTCGAAATTATTGCCGCACACATCGTAATGGAATCACAGATCGAATAACTCTTGATTATTTTCTTTTTGAACTTGTGTGCGTTAACAACGAGACCGGAAATTGATTGATTACAGGAAAGACAAAAGTCGTGCATTCAGATATGGGATGCAGCAGGACGCTACCTGTCGTCTCGTCCTGGAACGGGCAGGATAGCGGCGCTGGTATTAACAATAGCGGCGCTGGCCTGACCGTGAAAAGGGAACCTTTGGCTTCGGTGCCCTGTCAAGTCGCAGAAGTTTCCACGTCTCTTCATGCCACCACCACCTCCGTCAAGATCGAACCCGTTCCGCCAAAGTCCGAGAATGGTAAGTCGATCCCCGACAAAAGTCTTGTCTCTCTAAGAAAATACACGTCTAGCCTACGACCTAGTATACGTCGTAGTTACATTTAAATTACGTACATGGTTACGTTACATCACCAGCCACACAAAGAATCGCCATTCGTCGGGGTACGTAGGCGTACGCAATGCGAGGGAATCTTATTGAGGATATAAATAAGGTTTTCAAAATTAAGATATTTGGACCTCTTAATGAGCGTACAAAGAACTGTCGTTTGCGAAAACTGCGATCAAGGCTCTCGTGCAAGATAACAGATAATCGGAAATCAACATGATCGCACTTTTCAACCGTATGAAGAATCGTCACGCCGTTCGTCTAATACGAAGGCGGTGCGGACGCCTTTTTTGATAGGCGCGCAAGTTCGGGGGGGAGGGAAGAAACGTGCATAACCGCGCGATATGGGAGCATGAAGAGCGAGAGAAGCAAAAGAGGGAGAGAAAGAGAGAGGAGACTGATGCGAGACGAGATCGTGCGAGACGAGAGACCGACCGGTCTGTCGGTCGGTTGGTTCACAAGCGAGATGGCGAGAGGAAAGGAGCAAAGAGGAGGCGAGGCGAGGTGGTAAGAGAGAGAAAGAAAGAAGAAGAGAGAAAATAAAAGAGAGAAAGAGAGAAAGAGAGCGGCAGGCAGACAGTCTCGTGAAAGTAGGAGGTGCGTGGCACGCATGGCGACGCAAACACAAGGCGTGGTTCGAAAGAGTCTCGACCCTCTCTCCGGTCCTGACACATCCGCACTCCCTGGTACACCACACGGCCCTCGTGCCGGTGCGTGATGCCCACACGTGTTACGTCATGCGAGCATAACGCGTGTCGCCGAAGGTGCGGAGAAAAGAGGCGGACGGTGCGAGGAGAAACGAAAGGAAGGACGATGGAGCGCGAGGTAGGCGCGGGGAAAAGAAAGATCGAGTTGGTGATTTAAATGAATGCACTTCCGAGCGAATTGCCGCGTTCCGGTGAAAATACGTCGGGTCGAGTACCGCGAGAATAATATCAAGAATTGCGGATAGACCGAGGCGGTGATTTAAATGAATGCGTTTCGGAGTACCTTGACGAAAACGCACGTAAACCACGGTGTTTCGGTAAAATTATAATACATTGACAAAAATTTCACGGGGCTTAACGAAAAATCCACACTGAAAAAAAATCTGGTTGAATTAATTAGACAGTGGTAAATGAACGAACCAGATTCTTCCAATTAATACAACCAGAATTTTAATTATGCAACCAGAATGCCTGTTAATTCAATCAGATTCTGGTAGATTCAACCCAGTATTTTCTGGTGGAAAATGAACCAGATTTTTTTTCAGTGCAGAAGCGGAGAAGATCCAGGGGGTGATTCGGACAAATGCATTTGAGATATCAAATCAGATATGAAATTCGCGTGGAAAGTTCCGGTATCGAAAATTGCGTTTCCTTATCTATGATTGTATCTACAATCTATACCTTATAAATTGAAAGTCTAAATCGAAATAATTCTTATTTCAAGATATCGATACGCAAAAATATAGTCTGCTAATCGCAGTGATCGACATGTTTTTATACGTCTACGTAAAATTAAACTCGACAAAATATCGTTTTCTTCAAAAATCTTGTTTGCTTGGAGATCTCTTAGATCTTCAATGTTAATCCTTAATCTCTACTTACAAACGCAACACGTATCATATTCAGACTGCACAGAATTAAAAAAAAGCCTATCAATATTTAATAATAGATCGATTTTGAATCAATGTTCTTTGAAACCTTTTCTATTCGTGCTTCATCACGATCTCAAGTTCCCTACCGAGTCTACGATCGAGTCGACGCGACTGCGGCATCGCAGCTTCTCTCATTGCGATTCACGCGCGATTTCCTTAATCGTTTCAGGGATAGCCGTCTCTAACGCGGGAGCCGGTGGCATACCGGTTGGCATTGCTGTGGCGAGGCAGCGATTGCAGCATCAAGAGACTTCGACGTCTATGCGCAATGTGTCCTTAAGTCATCACACGTCGCATCACGCAACGAGCTATCATCATTTCCAGCCGGACAGCCTGGGTAAGTTTTTCTCACGGAGATATATCGCGCGGTTATGAAACTCTATTCTTGAACGCGATGAATGAAATCACGAGCGTTGGAACATTCTTACCCGTAACGTAAAATCGACATTTAATAATGCGAATATAATACACCGTACTTAGAGGCCCGTGCTGGAATATGTTAGAATTATGCTTCTCGCGAGCGTGAAAGAGCAATGCAAAAAGCGCATAATGGAAGAAATATTGCGATTTTTTTACAAAAATGTGAATTCTTTCGCTAATAATTGCGTTGCAATGTAAAATTGTTTGCAAGGTCGTACGTTCCAATAACCGTACGATTGCCGTTTTTTATATCGAGTATAATGTCGAGTATCTAAAAGAATTATTATATGACCAAATATTAGTGTTAAACTTGGACAAACTTGTACGCTTTTACAATATTTTTGTTTCAGTTGAAAGGATATCCCTTTCGAATGAGCATACTCCCCAGTTGCATGCAATACACGGTTATCCAATTACGCAGCATATTCTCGTAGCGCGATCGTTCAAGTTGCAACCCTAAAGCGAATATTAAAGAGAGCTCGCTTAGATTTGCTGGTGTATATTCGAAAATTCATTGGTCGCGATTGAAAAATCTTTAATATTACATTATACTTTCCCAATTTCCAACTTTTCTATATACTTATCGCTTTCAGTATTAATGTCGCGGAACGAACGATTTTACCTGCATCGTCTCATATCTTGAGCGTAATTTATTGCGAAAAAATATCCGCGCTATTACTGCAGCCTGCGGCTATTATTTTTATGACGATACTTCTTCGAAAATAACGCCTTCGACATTGATAGAAGAGAATGCAGAGATTTTGCGTAGATTCTAAGTAATGGACTTTTAATCGGTATAAATCTCTCTGAAACTTTTATCAATACAACAAAATTATCAGTATACGATCTTTTTGTTTCGATACCCTATTCTTACGCTTAGCTATATTATCTTAAAATTTGCAGAAATCTCACGATTTCGATATTTGTATCTACTTTATAACGTAAATTTAAAAATTTGACCGACCATACCCAACAGACGTTCGAATTTCGAACTTTTCGGACTAACGCTCATCTAATTTCTAATTTGCATCTAATCTACATCTAATTTCTCTAATTGCTAGCTTTTATTGTCATTTGGTGGAAAGGGAGCCCCGTCTCTGTAGCTTAGAAGCTTCCCTGCCACCGATGACTACTCCCCTCGATCTCTGCCGATCTTTAGTAGTGGATGAATCCCGATGAACAAGCCTGGGTCCGTTGTAGGTTCCAGCACGGCCATGGCGGTAGGCGGCACTACCCTGGTGCACTGCGGAGGGCCTGGAGGGGAGGATCGTGCGGCCCACCTCGCTGCCATTCCCTCCGGGGCTCTCGCGCCCTCGCTGAGCCTGAATTCCAGTCTGAATTCCAGCCTGAATTCCACCCTGGGCAGCATCGGTGGCGGACCGGCAGCCGCGGCCGACACAGCCGCCGCTGCTTGGCCGCCCACACTGTGGCAGTATCCGGCTACGGCGGCCGCAGGTGGGTAATCCGCGGCCGAACGTCATTATAAGAATAATAGAGCGATCTATGCAAAACCACCCTCAACCCCGTCAAATTAAGCCCGAGAGTTGAACGAAATCTGCGATCGAACGAAATTTCATACCTCGGGATAGATAGCTTTTTAGCTCGGGATAGATTATAGTTAATTATGCCGACATTCGAAAGTCGAGATGATTGGGGATTAACGCGCGAATTAGATTTTACGCGAGAAATACGAAACTGCGAGATAATTACGAGTCTCTCGGTTCATCGATCGTGATGAAACTGTTTTTGTATAAAATTTTGTTAATGCTAATAAAATCATACTTGTTCTGTACCAACACTCCTCCGCATACTTACTTGATTATTTACCGAAGTAAAATTTAATGACAGACTGGCGCGCACCAGTGAGAAACGCATCACGGAGTATTTACCTATACGTGAATGCAAATTCGCATAATGTTCATTTTTTACGACATAAGCGGGTCGCATGCATCAATGAACAAAGGTTCCGAATTAATTAACATCTCGCGATGTGTATATATATATATCATATATGCGCATCTATCAGCACGAGGGATTAACCGGGCCACTAACGAGCGACCCTACACAATTTCGGATCGAATTCACCCCTCACGCTGACCTCCCCGCTCCGGCCTCGCTGACCGAGTGACATTTATCCAAATAACGCTGAACTACATCGCCCGGTCTGCAGCTCGCGCGCGTATTTTCGCACCGTGTAAATCATTCACTCATACCCGTTTAATTTAATTCGTCGCTCGATGGGCCTTCGGATAGAGACAAAAATTCACGCGTTAAAGCATAGAAGTCGCAGAGCCAATCGATTTTACGCTCTTTGCATATTTAAATAATAATAGTGGTAATAGTAATCTCTTCGTGAGCTTGGACGAACGAGAATTACGATATAAAAGGTTACAAAAAGGTTAAACAAAAAGAATGTCTGAAAGAAGACTCAGAGTCAGAGATATTCTTTAAGCTTTTATAGTGAATTATAAATATAATTAAAAAGCACGTGTAAAACAATCGAAATTAATGTACGATTTCATGGAGGATGAGAAATTAATATTGCTTTTACAGCGATGCCAACGGAGCCGGTCGGCTTTCCGCAGATGGGTTCCGGGCTGCAAGGTGGATTACAGTTAGTCCGCGATCCAACGACCGGACACATTCTCCTTATTCACGCAGCGGGTAATGCGGAAACACGGTTTCTAAATATATCCCTTTTAACGCGCGAGCGGCGAAAATCAATTTTGCATTTTTTCCCCCGTTCCGACAGAACAAATGCAGCAGGCTCTGGTGTGGCCGAATTACTCGAACCACAACAGTAACGTTGCACCGCCGCCACTCCTATTGCCGCCGCCTCCACCCTCGATACAGCTTCTTGGTGATATCGGCGGCGCGCGATTAGTGCTGACTGAGAACAAAAGGAAACAACAAAGCGCGCTGCCGATAGTAAAGATCGAGACGGAATGCAGCAACAGTCCGACAACCATAATCAGTACGTAAGACCACTTTTCTTAACAGAGAAAGTTGGGGACAAAGAAAGAGCTTTTTTTTTTTAAGAGACACGAATATAGTATGGTAGTTATGAGATTAGAAAAAAAAGTAACTTAAGATAAGATACGATTTGTTTTAACACTTAAAATTCTGAAAAGTTTAAAAAATTCCACGCTACCTAAAATGAAGTAATACGAGTTAAGATTAATTCTTCCAAATTTTTGGAAAAAATAACCGAGCCAAGTGATCAGTAGTTGGACATACTACTGGTGCAGCGAATCGTTCGGTTATATTTCATACGTTAGACAGCCGCGTTAAGACTTTCCTCAATCTTCCGCAGCGTCCACCGAATCGTCGAAGACCGCCTTGCAAAGCATGACGTCCATGACAGGCGCTCTGGTACCGGACGCAGCCCTGGTTACCACGCTGCATTATTACCCTCAAGCGCCGGCGCTGGTGCAAATCAGCCAGGCCGAGCCTACCACCACGCACTGTAGGTCACAGGTAGGTAACATCACCTTTCACCAGGGTTTAAACACCGTGCGCGCCTGTACCGAGGCGCGCGCGCGCGGTATGCAGCGCGCAACACGAATTATTGCGCGACCGACCGGCTAGCCGGCCGGCCGGCGCAATATCTATGCAGATAGCGATGCAAATCGGGTTTGCCCATGATTAATACAATGTGCCACAACGTTTCCACATTATGCGAATGGCTGGACCGCGCCCGGAGTTTGACGTAATTACCGCTGCGCACTGCACCGTATACTCCCCCTCTCCCGTTCTCACCCGAAGGTCTTTCTCTTTTGGTTTTCCTCGTGTAAAACAAATCTAACGATATATCTGCGCGGAACAATAACTAAATCTTGACTTTAAAAAATTGGAAAACGCTGTCATACAAGAGTGTATGAAAAAAAATTTTCGACGTCTTTTTATTTTTATTTTTATTATTTTTTTTTTTATAGTACTTTTATGCACGAGAAATTAGAGAGGACTTTAATAATAATAAAAAAAGAAAAAGAGATTCTTTGAGACTACGAAAATATAAGAATAAAATTTTCGCAAAGGCCACGTCGCCGGTCTCGTGTCTGACACCACCCCCGGAAATACCGGCGACGATTCATGCGATCGAGCCATCGTCATTCGGGGTTCAGGACGCCTCGAATCAAACCGACGCGCCCGAGGACACCGAGGAGAAGCAGGAGGCTCTCGTGAAGCAGGAGCAGAACCTGAGTCCCTGCCAGGTCGTGTCTCAATCTACGGGGACGAATCTAGCTGCCGCGAATTTCGAGATCGTGCCATCGCCGACGGAGAGGATCTGCAACGTCGTTCGAATCACGACGACTACAACTACGGTGAACCCGACGGTATGCGGCATCGTAACCAAAGTGGACAAGGCGGAGAATACGATCATCAACATGGCCGATTGCGCCAAGTACTCGGCGAAAGATGGGAAAGGTCACGCGAAGACGATTGAGCACGATACTCGCGATGACGAGGAAGCTTGCAAGGGCGACAAAGTGCCGTCTGTCTGCAGTAGGGGCAGCAGGCTTGGTACTAGGATCATCGAGATCACCGAGGAAAATTGTGATAGCTTCCACGAGAACCTGGAGTTCTTCGCAAGGAGAAAAGACGTAAATCAACGTGATCATCGAGATGATTATTCCAAGGACGAGGAGAAGTCTCTTGCGCAAGAAGCCAACACTCATGAAAAGGAGGTAAGCTTTCAATTATTTAACATTTTCTATATACCGTAATTTTTTTATAACTCGTTCCGCTCAGGACATCTTCTGGTGTAATATTTAGAATTGTCCTACTTTTCAGGCCGAATCGAAGATCATCGATGCTTCGGAGAACATTGAAATTCATCGTCAAACATGCTCCAAAATATCAGAACCGCCGATCGTCAATGAGACGAAGTCAAACGTAGCCGATTCGACGGAGTCGCCGAGAGTCAATTGCGAGAGTTGCGACAAGAACCGAAATACCTCGAGCGGCGAAACCCGGCCTCAGATCACGGTTAAGTCTTTCGACATGCCTAATATCGATTGCGACGATCAGGAAGTGCAACAAGTAGCTATCAAGCAAGAGGCCGACGACAGCTGTTACGAGGTGTGCTACGATTCGTCTCAGTGCGAGCCAACGTCCACTAGCGAGAGATCCAGATCCAGTTGCGAGAAAGCGTCGCAGGAAGCAACGAAGAGACACTCGGTGGAGAAGACTCACCATCCGGGCATCGAGAACGTGGTGGAGAAACTGAAGAAAAATGCGGCGGCTTTGCAGGAAGCCGCGCTACCTAACACCCATCAAAAAATCGAGGAGTCCATGGAAAGATCGAATGTAGAGATTGTTAAGCCGCGGAGGTACTCCGAAACGATACCGAAAAAGTTGCATCTTCTAAGATCATGCCAGAACTCTCTGGACAGTAGCACAATCGACACAGAGATCTCTTCCTCGCAAACCGCGATGTCGGAGCAGCATATCAGAGATCAATCGGGACGACACTCGCTTCAAAACAACAGGCATTTGACCACTAGCGACACGTCCGGCAAGTGCCCGCTTAACGAGAATAATAACGACAGCAGGAGCAACAACAATAACATCAAGGCGTTCGAGGATAAAAAATTGCTAGCAAAAAATGAGAAGAATGATATTACCGTCTACGTTAAGCCTAAGACTGTCTGGCGGTGCGAGGTGCAGCCATTCGGGAAACCCAATGTGACTCGTAAATCCGATCACATTGAAGACGTGTCTTCGGAGACGATATCCAGGGTACAGAAGCAAAAGCCAGCCATTGATGTGAGTGGTCTCGAATTGCTGTCAAACAGCATCGAACAGTTGGAGCAACGAGTCGGCCAGCCGGAGCATCAACAAGTAGACACGGACGTCGAGAAGTCGCCTGTTAAAACCAAACTGATAAGTCAGCAGAGTGAGAATAATAATAATAACGTCGGCAGCCCTCTCGGCTTGCTCTGCGCCCTGGCCGAACAGATTATGGAGGTGGGCGACAAGGTTCCCCGGAAATTAAACCTCGAAAGTTCGGAAGAGATCTCGCACGCCGGTAGATTACTGCTGAATCTGGGCAGAAGCGGCTCTCTCGAGAAAGACGAAAGCAAAAGAAAGTATATTGAGACTGACGATCACCGTTCCAAGCGATTCAAAATCAACAATCACGAAGAGGAAACTAAGAATGCATCGCTGAATTATTACGAGAAAGATATCGAAGAAAGGACAACGGAAGTTAACGAACGAACACAGGAGAGTGCTCTGAAATCGAAAGAAAGTACTAAGAATATCGATAATTTCTCTGAGGAGAAAACTAATAAGATCACTGATGAAAAAACTATCGACTCGGAAGAACAATCTCTCAATAGAGCCGATGAAGGTTATTATTTCAGTACAAAGGCCGCTAAAAATCTCCAAGTTCTCTCGGATACAACACCTAATAATTTACAAAGTGATGACGCGCTTTACGATAAGATCGCGAGAGAGGACAACCTGACGGATTCGGAGGGTGAAATATTCGAATCGAAGGTCCTGTCTGAACAGTTAACGAGCTGTGAAATTAGAAATAACAAGCGTAAACTATCCGTCGACGAGAGAGACCCTCACGACTACAAAAACGCTCGAACAAAGTTAGAGGCGAAGAAGTTCATAGCCAAGAAAGGAAATTGCGATAACGAGGACGACTGGCCGAGCATGAACGCTACGGAACTTGACATGAGAGTCAGGATGGCCGACATTCAAAGACAATACAGAGAAAAACAGAAGGAGCTTTCCAAGTTGGTTCCGAAGAAAGATGACAAGAAGATCTCTGGCAGACCGCGGAAAAAGAGTCATTCTTCCACTAGGTGAGTGTAAATCAAAATAAAAAATTGTGTAATACAGAGAACTCATTTTTAATACACGTAATCTATTTTGAGACACGAAATATAAGATAGCAATTACCTTTTTAACAAGTTTGATAGATATAAACACAGGAATAATAAACTTCTTCGTCTCTAAAAATCGATTAAATTAGAACACAGTGAATTTACATGTTAATTTTATTTCAATCTGAATAATTCGAAATTAACAATTTCTCCAGTTCTGATCACGGGCCATTATCATCGCCACCCGCGTTCGATCTTATGACCTCTCCGTCGCGAAAGTCGCCCTCGAGATCACCAAGATCACCGGAACCTGATAACGCACCCTCGCCGTTAGCTTCAACTGTTCTGACCATGCCGAGGTGCAACGTGAATCTCGTGAAACTTGGCGAGCCCAGAAGTCATATAAAACTTTTAGACAGTATACCCAGTATTCCGATACCAGTACAGCCGGTGACGTCGCCGATCCCAGTGTTACCTGGCTCCAGCAAAGCAACACCAGAGGATGATGAGAAAAGCACAGGAACGGTACTTAGATTATCATCATTCTAGATCTTTTTATTTACTAACGTATAAATTTTCTTGTTTATTCATTTATTTATTGTTATTTCAATCTTATTATTAATACGACAAAAATGTGGCAAAATAGAAGTGTTAAAAATGTGATTTTTTATTTGTTTATTTTTATTTTCTATCTTTTAGCTGGGATACGACACGTCGTCACCAGCACCGACTGTCACAGGCTCGACTTCTGCTTCCAAGAAGAGGAAAGTGGGACGACCGCGAAAACTCACGTGCACTTCGGGCAGCGTCAGACACTTGACGGAGACAATTGTGGCTAAGAAACCTAAGAGCAAGAGTTCTCTAGTGGGTTACGTATTATCTTCAAAGAACAGACACTTACAAACGAAGGTAATTTGTTAAGATTTATTTTTTATTAATTCCTAAATATCTCCCATATATTATTGATTTTAATAAGTGCAATGCCGTCCTTGTTTTCAGCAATGCATAAATAATAAAACCGGCTATACCCCGTTGCCATTCAAATCAAGAATCTCTTCCCCGAAGCCACAAGCTAAGGTGCAAAAAGTTACAAAAATGAAGGCAAAGCCAGCAAAGCAAACTCCGCTGCACAACAAAAACGTGATCAGCTCGATTATCGCCGAAAAAGCAAAGCTAAGTCAGGAGGTGAAGCTTGAGAAGCATAGCGGTAAAATAAAACCGAAACTGAAAGCAGAGGTAAAGATGAAAAATTGGGAGGATGACGAAACCGACACGATACAACCCGAAAACGTTCCGCCTAAAGAAGCCGTAGTTCAACAACCTGTCAAGGTAATAAAGTCATTGCTACACTTTTTCGCACAATTTCGCAAATAAATCATTTCAAAAGAATTAGCAAGAATTTTATAAAGTTAAAAAATTTCTAGTTTAAAAATACCTAAAAACTTTTATCAAAAAATATAAATTAAAAAAAATTTAAATAATTATTCTATAAGTTCTTGATGCAAATATTAAATAAAATCGCACTTTCAACGAACATAAGTTACATGTACGATTTTTAATGAGTTACGCCTTAATGCACACACTTGTCATTTTACAGATAGAATTGACAAAATTAGCAAAAAACAAGTAAAAGGGACAAAACATTTTTTAATCATAAAATTTCACTGTATTAGGAGACGTCGATCGAATCTGCAGAACAGTCGGAAAAGGAACTGGAAAGATCATGGCATGAGAAGTCGAAGAAGAAGAAACGGAAATCTAGTTCGTCGCAGTCGCCGAATCGTGATAAGAAGGAGTCTAAGCGGCGTAAATCCCTGGAGTGTAAACAATGCGCCAAGGCAGCCGCCGCGAAGACTTCCGAGAGCATTGTCAATCGGTGCAAGCTGACGTCCGCACATCTGGCCATCGATCAGCTGCGAGTTCTCATGGCGATAGGCGGTCTCTTCTACGCGGGCAGGCTGAGCGCCGTGCAAGCGCCCGACGTTTACGCTATTACGCTGGACGGCGAACGCGGTAACAGACCGCATATTCATTCCAGGGAGGAGATCCTGAAAGATGCGGTATGGTCGACTTGACATTTAAATTCTGCCAACAATATCGACTCATTTAACTCGTTACCTTGTAACGAATCGCACGGATCAGAATCCAAATTTAACAAACACGAGTCTGATACTCGTGGTGTCCCACCAATGTCCTGGCCAATTATGCAATCGTTACAATAGACCGACATAAAACAGTCAATTCTGGCATAAACACGTAAAAAAGATCATAAGGCAACGAGTTAATACGCACAAAAATGTTGATATTACTAACACAAAAATAGGTTGGTTGGTATTATATATTCACAGACGAATTATACTTATTTATACTTTATGAGCTGTCATTGACACTTTGATGTTTCCGAAATATTAACAATATTTGTTAATACTACATATTTACCAAAATTTTATTCCTCTTTCATGACATAAGAGAGAAATATATTGTCACAGACAATTCTATAAAATTAGGATAGCTCTTAAAGACTCAAAATTCTTCTTGTTCTTGCTCAAGATTCTTTAAGAAGTGATCAAACCAATTTTTTACGACAGGCATCAAAATTTTACTATTCACTGATTACAGTATAATTCGTTTTTTTAGCTTTCTGGTATTTACTTACGTGTTCGTACGTGTATTAAAGAAATAACTCATTCTTCATTATAGAGGGGAAATAAGAAATGTTTATAATAAAATATTTCGAGATTATATAATAATATTTTATCGCGTAGATTGTAGAGGTATGTCCGACTTCGACGAAAGAGCTACCACCCGGTACAAGGCTATGCGCGTATTGGAGCCAACAGTACAGATGCTTGTACCCGGGCACTTCTGTGAAACCTATGATACCTGATCCGCAACATGACGAGAAATTCGTCACCGTGGAGTTCGACGATGGGGACAGCGGTTTAATCGTCTTGGATGACATCAGACTTTTACAGCCTAATTATCCTGTCGTTGGTATGTGTCTCACGTATACGTATCTTTACGTCGCTCGAATCAGGACTCGGATATGATAAAATATGATAAAATTTATCTCTTACTTATTTTCAATTTTTATCTGCAGTGTACGATCCGAATCCTCTACTCTCACTGGGCAAACGACGACGACAAACGTCAACTTCGGAAGACAAGCGTTCAACGTGCAATCAGAGCGTTCCATTGAACGGTCAAAGCGTTCCGTCGACGTCCCGGAGTGCGACGGCTAGCAACAACAGCTTCGCCACATGTCCCTACGTTTCTAACGTAGAATTGACAAACGGCAACGAATGCGCCGAGGCGGAGACCGAAACGAATGTCGACACGAGCAGTACGAGCGGCACGGAGTACAACAAAAAGAAGCACATGAAGAAAATAAAAAAGAATAGGAAGCTACTCGAGGCTCAAGAGGGCAAGAAGAAACACAGAAAGCATAGGTCCTGTAAAGAGCATCGAAGGCATAAGCACAGAAAACATCGAAAGCATAAACACAGACATCATGGTAGCATTGGCGACGCGAATAGCATAAGGTACATATATATTATCATAATCTGTTGTATATTTATATGTGATTTATATTTTACATCGCAAACTATCGTAGATGAAGAAAATTTTATTTATAACAATGTGTGCTGCGCGTACAAAGAGAATATAAAATTTAAATTTAAATATAATAATAACATTATAATTTATAAGATTCATTTTGAGTATGAAATCGTATTTAAAGTGAATCTTATAAATTATAGATTAACCTTATTTTCGCTCTGAGCTTATCAAATATCTTTAGCAGAAATGTTGAAATGTTTCTTAGCAATCGAGAGAACAGCTGGGAGCAGAGGAATGAGGAAGAAACAGATTTTCCGAATACAAGTTTCTCCGCTATCGAGGAGACAAGGTTGTCCGAAGAAGATGATGAAACTGAAGAATCATTAATAACTACTCAGAAAGACAACGAAGCTCAAGTGGAGCTTGAAGAACCATTAGAACCAGTTCAAAAAGATGACGATGTTCAGATGATATCAGAACCGTCGGAGCCCGTTCAACAGACTCAACCAGAACCTGAGAAAGAAGAACCTGTTCAGCAGACCCAGATAGAGTCCGAACCATTAAAACCCGAAATTAGCGATGAGACTCAGATGGAATCTGAAGAAATCTCAGAAGAGGTCCAGGCAAACGACGAGGAGCCGGAGGAACCGACGATAGAACCAGTCGCGAAGAAGTTGAAGACACAGCCGAAGGCATCGACGAGCCGCGCCTCGACGAACCGTGCCGCGGCTAATCGCGGCACTTTGAACCAAGCTTCAACGGTTTCGGCAGTTCGCGGTACGAATCGCGCCTCGGTGAATCGCGCTTCGACGAATCGCACAACGACGAATCGCGCCTTGACGAGACACGCTTCGACGGTAAACAACACCTCGACGAGTTCTGGCACAACGACGAGTCGCGCCTCGAAGAATCGCGCCGCCAACCCGACAACTGTGGCCACCAACCCGTCGAATCCCGTCGAGACACCCAGTCCGATAGCGCGCATGTTGCCTAACAAACGCCACTGGAAATGGGCGAGCAGTAGTCGTGTATCTGGCGGAAATCAATATTTCACCGCTATACGACGCGGCAGAGAAACGATAAACATAGGCGACAGCGTATTGTTTTATTCCTATCGAAAACCTCACGAGAAGCCTTACATCGGCAAGATTGTGTCGTTGTGGCTGAACCAGAAATTAGAGATGAGAGTCAGATCCCAATGGTTCTACCGTCCCGAGGAGCTACAACCGCCTTGCAGCCTAAACCCTCCGGTAATTTTTCTTTTATGTATTTAAGCAAGAAACTTAGAAGAAGTATTTAAGAAACCCTTAGCGTTTGAATTTTCAGAAATATTCTTCTAAAGTTTTTGATCATTCTGTACTGTCATATCGGATTAAAGGCAAAAAATCACAGATATAAATTTATTTTTGCGCTATATATCAAATAAATTTTTTTTACATAAGAAAAATATATTTATATGATTTTCTGATGTCATAATGTAATATAGTTAGAGTAAATGAGCCTTGAAAGTGGAAGAAGTATTTCTAAAAATTTAACTCAATGTGTACAATTATAAAAATATATTGAGTATTAAAAAGATCTCAGTGAACACAACATATGTCTCAAATCGGGACATAAGACATCATATTATGAGAAAACGTCTTAATGATGTTTTTAAGACGTCATATGTCCCGATTTGAGACATCCGCGTTGTCTGGCATTGCAAGAAATAATTCCTCTATTTTTAGATATCAGTAAATTCGAATAAAAGCAACTGGTAAATTTGTTTATTCACAGGGCGGCCTGTTTGAATCGAAGCACAGCGATTCGAACGACGTGCAAACGATTTCCCACAAAGTAATGGTGCTACCACTTGAAGATTATAATAAGATATTGCAAGCGTCGCACAGACATCAAAAGGGTTACGAGGACAACGATCCTTATTACTACTACGCCGGCTTTTATACGCATCCAACGGTAACTTATGCACCCGGCGTTACGGCTGTTCTAAATGAATGAGAACAGCTTAAGCTGACGATTAAGTTAGCCGGAATTACTTAATCGCGGTCAGCTAAACACAACTCTGCGAAATTTTCGATGCGACAACCGTTTAAAATGAACGGCTCTCTTTTATTGCGGAGGAAGACAAACTCTTGGAAGCTTATAGCCAATATGCTGATAGAAACGTAGGCGATACGTTACACGCAAGAGATGAAATTATTTCTCCACATACGTCCTTATATATTATTGCGAGAGCGTTGCTCATTAAGTCTACAAGGCACAAGCATTACTTCATTCGCGAAATACTTAACAAAACGATTGTTCTTCAGAACACAAAACTTATTTACCATCTGACGGTTAAATTTATTTTACCAGACTCGAAGGGTCTTAATTTCTTCATTGATTAATAATAGCATTATTTCATCTATTTTTTCCGTCGCATTTCTTATGCAATATGAAAATGTCTTTTCGTCGTATACATGACATACGATTAAATATTTCATCGATCTACTTAAGATCGTTAAAAAAATTCAAAAGAGCATATTGTCCTTAAACGCGCACGCGACCTAAAATGGTGTAGATTGGCGAATGCAGGCTTCGTAGCCTGCAACTTTTAAAACTCCATAACAGGCAATACTTGTGCCTTGTTCAAAAATTCCTCCCATTGAAATGCGATCCGACTGCCGTTCGGTTTCTGTGAATTTCCGAATTGTAATTACGCTTACATTTTGCTAGCAGGAGAGAAAGAGAGAGAGAGCGAGAGAGATCGAGAGAATGAGAGAATGAGAGAAAGAAAGAGAGAAAGAGAGAAAGAACGAAAAAGAGATGGATCGATGCAATAATCACACTAAGTGGCATTAAACGCAGAAGTGATCGATATAAAAAGTTATTTGCTGTACATATTGTAAATATGAATTTAAGAACGTGTGTCTAACACTTGCGTGCACACACTCGTTGATGTAAATCGCGTTACAAAAGCGGTAGATTCAAGTTTATACAGCTTAAGTTTTAAGTCGTAAGTTAATGACCCGAGTAACAATAACGTTTCGATATTTGAATAACAAAAAAAAAAGGGGAAGTACACACTATTTTCATGTTCGGAGAGTCAAATTTTTTTAACGAAAAAATCAATGGAAACAACGTACGATAAATAATGATAATGTAACTTGGCTAAAAGACGAGATGAAGATATATGAAGATGATATTCGAGTCATTCTTTATAGGGATATACAGCTTTTAGAGAATTTCACTCGATTTGTCGTAGTGGATCGATAACGAACACGAGCATGTGTCGTGTTTTTACTTCGCTAATCGATATATCTTCTAACGCGTTTATAGAATAGACATTTGCATACCTTGCGATGCAGTCAGATGCTTTGACCTGAAATATCGCGGATGTAACGAGCAATAAAGAATTAATCCCATCAAAGCTCGCAAGAAAATCAATTATTTAAATAACAGGCTGTACGCTGAGTTTGAGATAGCGCCCGAGGGATAGAGAAACCCGCTACAACGATAGAGAAGTAAAAACGTTAACGCTAAATTAACTGGAGGAGAGAGAACCAGACGAATTTTCTTAATGAAGCTTAACGAGATGTTAAGATATTGAAATGCAAATTTACGGTATGCATCGGATAACATAGCGATAAGCTTCCGTCGAAACGATAGTAAAGGTATAAGTAACCTTTACTTATAGGGATTAGGGTGATTCGACGATATCGATTCGTATTAGAGCTTATGTAAATCTGACTCGCAAGACTCGGGCCTAAATGATTGAAAAATGTACTTACAAAGAGAGCTCGTGATACGCGACTTATTGACTCATTTTATAGTTTACGAATAGAGAGCAGATAAACTTTAAATAGGTAAGTGAGAATGCTTGTTGAATTATAAAGAAATAAACCACGAAGTTGCTCCCGCAGACGCGCAACTATATTTAACATAATCCGATAACTGTAGAGTATAAATGTTATATAACTGAACCCGAAGTCGCATGTCACGTGCTCTTTGTTAAATAAAAATACCACACTCGCTTCTTGTACTATTTTCGCTTAAGTGTCAATATGTCAATTAGCTTGATAGTATTTGTTTTTCCCTTTCCCTCTAATAGAAAGAAATTCTGATATACAGACGTAGTGATACGAAATAAGGTGCTATATGTCGAAAGATAATTTTTTTTTCATAAAAATGAATATATTTAATCGAAGAAATTCGAAAAATATCGTTCCTTTTTGTTTTTTAATTTTAACAACGAATCGGAAAAATTAGTTAATCCTAAAGGACAGTTTCTTTTATGACGTCCACTTTTAGGTATATTCACGCGCAATGCGTTACGTTCGGTAATGAATGCGGCAAACACCGTTTGCACTTTCAGTAATTAGAGATACATAATTATCGTATCGTTAACGTATTAACTCTTCTAATGTTGTGAGATTTTTTTACGCTGAAGACTATTGAAAGAGTTGAATTACGGTCAACATTTGTGAGGCAAGCTCGCTCCGTTGCGAGAAAGATACGAAACGAAAAATATTCGCTAAATTAAAAATAACAAACTAATAACGTTTGCTAAAACAGAGAGGTGTATAAATCTCAAAACATAAAATTTAACATTTGGTCTTTATGTGTTTGCAGTTATATTTACTCGCCCTCGGAGCGTTTGTCAGTTACTTTTGACAATGGATGGATGAGATTATTCGTATGAGAATATACAATCGAGTTTTAGCAGAGTACAATTCCCTAATAATAATAATAATAATAGAAACGCTTCGATCGTAGTTTCTCATCTTCTCCATTTGCCGGGATATTTGGATTTCGCTGAGGTAGATTTTCGGGCTGACCGAAACTCTTGAAGACTCTTTTATAGATATAATTTTTAGAGCATTTTATGTGAGAAAAAAGTTTAGTGTTATAGAGATAATAAACGATCCTTCAGGCAGTCGATCAATTTTCCTAAAAAATAAAAAAGTAAAAATTTATACACAAAGTTAACGAAATTATAAATTTTCTTATCGCGACAGCATGACATTTTAATTGCATAAGATTTACAGGAGATTCAAAAACGCGGCAAATGAATAATAGACGTGGATTAATCGACTTCCAGAAGAGATTCAGTTTTTTTGAATAATCATAACACGACTTCGTCGAAATTCCGAGAATGGTCCGGCGAAGTTTTATCGCATTTTCTCGAATAAAACCTGTACAGTACAGAAAGAACATTTCCGAAAATCGCTATAGCGTGTACTATAATACTATAATAATACTAGCGTAGAGAGCCCTTCGAAAATTAAACTGGTAGGAGTGTGAAGTACAAACTGAAGACACAATAAATACGCGCGCGAGTGATACGGATAATCGAGAAACCGAAAAAAAGGATTAAGAGGTACTTATATGCGTAAAATATGGTAAATTTGTTTTCTGTGTAAATATTATACCTAATAGAATGCTCCGTTGTGTACATATGGCGCGCTGAGACTGCGCGGTGTTTCACGCCGTGTCGCTTTTAAAGATATTTTTGACGGTCGAATTTGATCCATTGTATAGAACACACGATTCAATCATGTAGTACGTAAAAAAAAATATAAATACGTGTGTATAATATATAGTATTTTTTCATGAAGGGTCGCAACGAGACGACGACGACGACGAGTCGGCCAGGCTTTTTAAATATAATAAAAAGGGAAGATTTTAATCGTGCCGTTGACGATGCACCAGTAAGCTTCCGTGAGTGGTTACTGAATGTCTAGACAGCGATTGGGCGGACGTAATCAGGCCTTATCGAAAAACCTCTAGAGCATTGGCCCTAAGAACACCGAGATCGGCCGAGCAGCGCTTTTACCTTTCAGCTTTTCATCTCGACTTTTCGTGTCAATAAAAAAATGTTACAGAGTAAACCGTACAATTATTTTCTGTCTCTCTCGTAAAAAATGCTTAAAAATGTATGCTCGCGGTACGCATATTTAGAAGCGTGTAGGTCGCGGATTTGCATATGGTCGATACCATGGCTACGTGTCGCCGGAATAACTACCCCTTCGCAGTAACTATAGTCGTCAGATAAAAATAAAAAGATCCTGAAACAGCAGCTGTGCAAAGTGGCCCGCCTTTCTCCGCTTGGGTAAGAGCGTATAACCGATAAGGAGCTCGGTGTTCTCGGGGAGGGCTAAGCGTGGATGATGGTGGTGAATTATACGGTACCTTCTCTATGCGCAAAGAACGCGCAACGAGTCGCAATCTTTTTACACGCTTGTAGTAATATTATAGCGCCGGTTATTAATATTTTATTAATTACCATTAACCGCGAGACGAGACGTAGCACTGTGCGAAATATATATATATATATTTACACGTATATATTTTATACAGTGCTATATACACACATCCGTTATATATTCTGAATATTATATATTTTTACTGTGTAATTATAATAAATTGCTATACAATTACTAATTCAATCCTGAACGCGTAATTCACCTACACAAATTAACGGGTCAACATTCGATCCATTCGAAATTGCCATGAAAATGGAAATTCTGTCCATCAGCTGGTCTGGCTTTCCGACGTGCCGCTTTTGGACCGCTGCTGCATCCGCGAACGTTACGAGATTAGCGTTCGCTTTTCGAGGTTTTTGTAAATATGTAATTAGATCACAAAAAGAGAAAAAAGGAAAGAGCGAAAGAGAGAGAAAGAGAGTGTGTGAGAGAAATTAGAAATATTGATGTTTTCGATGTTCGATCGTTCTTTCTATACGACACGTGATTAAAATTCGTCTATAAAACCCTCCGCTTCTCCCTGTATCTTTCAGAAGACGGGGAAACCAATTAATATTAATAGATCTCTAAATATTGATATTCCGCGTCTACTTATCTCGGATTTTGCGTGGAATCAAGCAGTGATGGGAATCCAAACGTTTTCGAGAACTTTTATCAACATTGAAATACAATCAATACGCGTTCTAATAAAAATCGGAAATTTAAGAATCTTTATCGCACGATTTCCATCTAGGATTTAAAAATCGGACGTGAATTATGTCCCTCACATGATATCACCCTACACATGAATTATTAATATATTTCAATTTCGCGATGACAATGAATTATATCCTATACATGATATTGTTAATATATTTCAATTTCGCGATGACACTCCCATGTCATTGAATAGTAAAATTCGTATGATGTAAAAGTATGATTTGAGAATTACAGTATACGATTAATACTTTGCTTAATTAGTTTTCTACAATTTTCTACTTTTAAAAACAAATTCTTGTATTTTTGAACGATATCTGAATATATGGAACATTCCACGCTAAATCAACCGAGAATTTTTCTCGACCATTTTTTATTTGGCTAAAATTTTTTTGTGTTTTCATACTAAATGAAAGTAGCTACTATGATTTTTTTTAGATTTTTATCTCTACTCATACTTAAGTTATGGATTTTTTCAAAAAAATGCAGTTTAAAATTTCAAATGCCTATAACTTTAAGAAGAAAAACGATATTGTAAAAAATGAAGTAATCTTTTTTTTTCGTTTTTTACTGTATTTTTTGAATAAGATATTGAAAAAATTTTGAATAGACAATATCCGTTTTTTTTTTTAGGATTTAAGTAAAAAATGTTTTTTTTCTCAATGCGACCGTTTTGATTTTTTTCAAAAAAATCTTACAAATTCTAGACTTAGTTTCGAAATTTTTAATTGATAAAGATGGAATTTCAATAACTTCGATTTTTTAAGACTTTTTCTTCATTTTTTTCGAAAATAATTGTTTTTAAATAAAATAAACTACCGATGGCTATCAAAAAATTTGATAAATTTATAAACAGCAATCCTGAAATTTCGATCTATAGATAAAGAGAAAACTTGAATATTTTCTATTTTTTAATTGCATTTTTACTTATTTTTATTATTGAATTACTTTTCTTTTAATGTAATATTATAAATTGGGAAACTTTAACGGATAGAATGTAACAATTAAATCACATAGTTAATAAAAAAAAAAACACGTATTTTATCTGTGAAAATAGCAATCAGATTTATTTGAAAATAAATTAAATAAAAAAAATAAAAATTAAAAATAAACAAAATAAATCAAAATTTATAATATTCCATTAAAAAAAGTAATTCAATAATAAAAATAAGTAAAAATGCAATTAAAAAATAGAAAATATTCAAATTTTCTCTTTATCTATAGATCGAAATTTCAGGATTGCTGTCTATAAATTTATCAAATTTTTTGATAGCCATTGGTGTAGAGTCTATCTTATTTAAAAACAATTATTTTCGAAAAAAAATGAAGAAAAAATATGAAAACACAAAAAAATTTCAGCCAAATCAAAAATGGTCAAAGAAAATCCTCGGTTGAGATTTGGCATGGAATGCTCCATATACATATATAATACTCCTATATATATATTATTATATATATATCTTTTTAGTACTTATTTTCGTTTGATGAACGTGCATTTTGTTCACATTCACCGGAGTATTTCCTTCAGTAAATAAGAGCAAAAGAATTTTCGCTCCCTTTTATTCATACGACTCAATTATCGCTCGAAACTTTCTGGCCAAGGTTGCTAGGAACAAGCAGTGCATCCGTTCCCGAGCAAGTCTGATTTATCTGGCACGTAGCGGGGCCGAAGTTTGCCCACGTCTCGCCCCGTAAACGAACTTCGAGATTAAGTCTTTTCGTTCATGTTCTACCAATCAATAGATAGCAATAGGCGGTAAGTATTTCGACATTATTTTCTCGCAATTTTATATCCTCCCGATAAATACGCGACTAATTGAATTCCCATCACTGTGGCTAGTCGTCGAGCAACGTATACGGCGGCAACGGCGCGGCGGCAGCAGTAGCAGTAACAGCAGCAGAGCAGACGCGCAGCACCTTGTACAAACACGCATTTTACGGTAGAACGGAAAGGGCGAATGAATTTTAATAACATGCCGCGCATAAAAGGAGCAAAACGGCGAATCGATTCGAAGTGGCTCTATCTCTCGCGCGCACGCGCGCGCGTGCGAGAAGAAAAAGAAGCGGCATTTTAGATCTGTATAAAAAGAATCGAGATTGATTATATTTTTAAAAGCAATTCGCATTTGATATCCGAGGAAAAGTATTTCGAGCACGTGCAAAAATTTCGTAGGAGGAGACGCGACGATAGATAAAGAGGGAAGATAAAGCGAAAGAAGAAGAGCGCATCGTTTCTCCTTCTATCTTGTACTTTCAGAAAACGTGCCTGTATGTGGGCGGTTTGATACTCACTGAGGACGACGTGTGTCGCGAGATAAGAATTTAGGACGCGAGATTCTCTTCTATTTGTGTGCTTCTTAGAGACGAGAGACACGTAGTCATTGTGTGCCGATTGTCTTTAATATTAATGACCGATCAATTCGTTCGTCGCTCCATTAATCCACTCGCTATTCCGAATCTATATACGATCCGTGTCGTGAACTGACACACACGCGAACGCACATGAGATATACAAAAAATATACGCATACACATGCATAAACAGATCTGTACATACACCTGTATGATTAATTATGAGATTTTAGAGAGATTAAGTGAATTTCGACCGGAGAACTTGGTTACGAGCGAGCGCGCTAATGTCACGCGCAAACACATTCTTCTTTATTTTTGTCACACCGATATCTGGTCGATAATAAAGTGCATATTAGACGAGTGAATAAGTAATTGATATCTGTCAATTTCGCAACCCTATATGCCTGTTCCTAGAGCGTTTATTCATATCGCTTTGATTTAAGTAAACTGATGGCTTTGAACTTTCTTATGTGCATATTAGATCACGAAGAAGTCAGATTAATTTTAATAGAGCAATAATAATTTCATTAGTAATAAAAGAGTGATAAAAACTATTAGATGTATTAATAAATGATCTCCAGCGCGGCGCGGAAACGTTTTTTTTTTTATCACAGACAAGAATCTTATTAAGTAAATGAGAGTTATTTTTCGCGACTTTATTTCTGCCCCAGCTGGTATTGTTTTTCTAATTATTCGAATATTATTTGTCACGCGAATGCAAAAAAATCTTTCTTAATAATCCTGAAATCGTTGCTATTGAAAATTAATTAATCGGGCGATGGATAAGCAAGACGAACGGCAGTTAGCGAGAGAGTTATTGGAATAAGTAGCGGAAGAGAAATTACAACCCTCCTTTCTCTACTGCGTGATAAAGAAAAAGAACGACCCATAACGAGAGCCATTTTCAAGCAGTGCTTCCAATATGTCCAGGATGGAAACGACCATAGCGCTCTAATCGAGCTTGTCCTACTTTCTCGCACCTTCTGGACCTTTTGTACTGTAAATGTTACTGCCATAATAAAAAGTTACGTATACGCTGCCGCGGAAACACGGTAAAAAAGACAACCGCGTTTATGTGAAGTTTATACTTTAACCAAAATCCTATTTGACTCATTAATGAAAATAATGAAAATTAATTGAAAACAAATTGGTAACGATTATATTAACCGAAAATAATGTTATACATAAGAAATATTTGCTCTCGAAATTGTAATCGAATACTTTGTTAAATATAATTAATGGATATACGGATAACGGTTTCTAATCATTTTCTGTTTCGCGAGTT